CAATAAATAAATAAAGAAATAATGCAATAAATAAATGAATTTGCAACCTTTCCAGCTGGCTTCAAAGTCAAGGCGGGGGGGGGGGGGGAAACCAGATTTGCTTAATGATACCGGACTCACTTAACAACTGCGATTGGTTTAGCGACCATGTCAAAAAAAAAGTCATCCTATCAAGTGCGACTCACTTAGCAACCGCCTTAGAAATCCTGCTCCCAATTTTGTCGTTACGGGCGAGGACTATCTGCAAATAAAAATTAAACAGGGAAGGATTTGTATGACACCCACTCAGTTTGAGTTTCTATTCCCCTTCTCCCCCCACCCCCACCCCACTCCGCCTCTTCTGGTTACTAGGTCAGCAAAACCAGATTTTAACTCCTGGAAGTCTTAAGATGTCAAACTCATAAATTCCTTGCAAGAGACCTGGAAAATGAGGCAATGTTGTAAAAGAAAACACACACACACACGCGCACACAACCATGATTGAGGCACCAACATCTCCATATGTGGGAGTCTAACTTTGCCCAGACTAATCTCTCCCAGGAATGTATCCCTGGCATATTTTCCTTTCTCTGTTTGCAATAAATTTAAATTGAATGATCAGTGAAAGATCATCAAGGCGGGAATCATGCCGTTTTATAGAAGGAAGAGGTGAGATTTAAACAAATGAGCATAGCGCCTTATCAAAACCCACCATACTGTAAAGGGAGATCCGACAGGCCTGGGGCTAAAGAGCTGTTGCCCCCGTCTCATTTCATTTACATTTCATTTCATTTATTATATTATATATATATCTCGAATGGTATGACTGCTGTGTGTTTTTAAATTATGTATTGTTATGCTTCGTCTTTTATTTTTTGTCTGTACCCCCCTTCCCTGATTTGAATTGTGAGCCGCCCTGAGTCCCCTTCGGGGGGGAAAAAGGGCGGCATATAAATATAATAAAATCAAATCAAGATGTGCGTCTTATGCTTAGCAAAAGCATATGTATCGGAAAAGATCAAATGCCTTTTTAAGAAAAAAAACTGGTTTAACTCCCGATAAGGAGACAACTGTTTTCACTCTAGATCAAGAGACATTGGTTTGCAATAAGCGAGTGCAGTCCATTCTATTGATCATGACGGGCAAAATTTCTAATCTTTAGATACGCTCCCCAAGAGAACAATTTAAAAATACATTAGGCCTGTCTTAACACTCCAGGGAATCTTAAGTCCCAGGGCAATTAGAGGCTGTGCTTTAAAAAAAAAACGCCAGTGGAATTCTCATAAATCAGCTAACAGTCACATTGGGAAATTGAGAACCAAATTCAGAATTTGGTAGCGAGAGGAGTTATTAAAAAAAGGGGAAGCGTTTGTGAATTAAAGCTCATTACGCCTTTTTAAAAAAAATAATTTGGGAGTCTGAAAGGACCGGATTCCCTGCCTGTAAGCTCCTGATTAAGAGAGATTGAAATGTGGAGGAATATGGAGAACTCAATGCATTCTAACCCTGATGCCTTAACTGGCTTGGCAAACACTGTCTCGTCGGCATTAGGGTGACCGGGGTGGAAGGGGTCATAGGTGAAGAAAGGTGGAGGTGTTGCATATGTCCTGATATTCCTGTAACAGCAGTTGTGTCATTCTGTAATTCTTACCTTCCTGATTGCATGCGGTAGAACATCTCACATGGTTCATAGCCAGTTCTCTTTCCCAAGAAATTTCCCAATTTTTTTGTAATCTCTCTCTCTCTCTCTCTTTCTCTCTCTCTCTCTCTCTCTCTCTCTTAGCAAACAGCATTGATAATAAAAGCTGGTTTAGCTAGTAAGCTAGCTCTCCTTTCTCTCTCTCTCTCTCTCTCTCTCTTAGCAAACAGCATTGATAATAAAAGCTGGTTTAGCTAGT